CATTAAACATAAAACCTCATGTGTATTTCCACAGCTTAAAGGTATGATGTTGTATAAACACAGAATTAAAGAAACGCAATTCAAGACATTTCTTAGAAATCTTCAAAAGCTAACACAGAAGTAAATGAGTTTACAAAACAACCTGTACAGTATATCTCTCTGTAATTCTCTGAGATGTTTAGTTAATAAAATACAAGTGTGGATTCTCACCCGTCGTCTTGTTATGTGTTCGGAGGGAGTGGCGAGGGACTGAGGCACGTTGGTGTTGCCGTTGGCAGCATCAAAGGGGCAGAAGGTCGGTGGGGTACCGTTAGGAGATTTGGAGCAAGGGACAAAGTCTGAGTCTGTGTCGCATCCAAACACAAAACTGCAGAGGGCGTGGCAGTGGGCCAGGATCACCACGGCCTGCACCAGCTCCGCCAGCGACCAGCACTGCTCACCCGACTTCAGCAGGGTCTGGAGGGGCAGAGACAGAGCTCAGGGTCTCACAGGCTGCATCAATTAAACACCTCAAGAATAATAATCCTAATTGCCTCCTTCTTCATGCTGTCTTGTTAAAGTTGTTTATTTTGTTGTGTGTGGTTTGCCTTGCTGTACCTGAATATGTGAGCAGGCAGTGAGCCAGGGTTGGTGGGCCAGCACCTTGTTGATGTGAGCGAGGAGGCGAAGGCGAGGTGGTGCTGCCTCCAAACCCTGCAACCACAGAGGGTCCCCGCCTACCCTCAGAAACTGAGCTGAGTGCAGGTACACCAGGTAGTTGCAGTGATGCCGTGCAGCAGCCTGGAGGTAAAATAACAAAAAAACAACCGACAACTCAAACATAAGACGATGTTATTCTTTTATTTTGAATAATACAAATAAACACTGCTGCCATAATAGATGAGGAAACTAAATTTAATTATTTGTTTGTTTTGCTACATGTTCAGTAGAATGAGAGCTGGTGATATCCTGGTTTTGCAGTAACAAGAGCAGCCAGGCCACTGACCATGATGGCGATGTAATGGCGGTATGGCAGCGGCAGAGGGCCGTCCATGTGCAGGATGTAGTGCTGTGTGCGCAGGAAGCTCTCCAAGTACTGAGGGTGAGAGGCCATCTGCTGGAAGACGGCATCCACGCTCCCCCTGCTGACCAGAGCCTTCATGAACAGCAGTGACACTCGCTCCTTCTCACCGTTCACTGCCGCCTACAGAGACCAGGACACAGAGCAGAGAGAAGGTCAGTTTCTGATGGGACAGGTGAAAACATTAATCTCTTTGTTAAGGCAGTGCAAGCTGAGATATGTATGTGACGCTGAGCCTGTCGCCAGTGAAGTGGAAAAGTCACCAATAAGTCAAACTATCTCAGGAATCGAATACTATTAT